AGGAAGGAAGGAAGACTTGCCATCTAGAAGTAATTAGAGTAGTCATAAAAGCATAGTATCTATATCAGCACCTTGATTACTATGCACTTGTTTAATAATTTTTCTTCCTCATTTGCTTTAAGAAATTTGGGAAGTTTTGTTTTGTTCTATTCCTTTGTTTACCTCCAGTCTCTAAAAATAGCCCTTCACATATAATAATCTATCATTAATTTACACAAATAGCAAATGTTCAGTAAATATCTATTGTATCTGCTTCATTTGATTGTGTTTCTACACTTATCAGCATTTGCTGATTAATGTGGAAAGTGCCTTAGAAGTTTGTAATATTTAAATGATCATGCTCGGACTAGTCCATTAACTCACCTATCAATACTTAATAACTAGGTTGTTGCTATTTATATCTAGTTCATTACACAGTCAGATTTAATAGATATCTGTAATGGAAATTTATTTATATGAATACTTTGACTAGATCCATTCCTCATGACAACCTTATAAAGTAGGTACTATTCTAATGTCTTTTAATAATGTTCTGAAGTGGAAATAACCATTTAATGTACTTGTATTTTATGAGATCAGTTTCTCCTAAACTGTAGTGTTATTAATGAGTAGGAAAGTATTCAAACATTTACTCTGAGAGTAATGTTGAACACATGAATTAAATAGGTATTTTTATATGTTTTTTCTTAACCACTTTATTGTGATGAGCTCACATACATCACAATTAAGACAGCCATTCAAACATTTGCTACATCTCACAGAACTGATATACAGTGAGAAAGGTCATTCTGAAGGTGTGGAGCTTCCCTTGTAAAACCCTTTCACTGTTAATTACATTGTGTGCACTCATCCCTCACAAAAAAAGAAAGAACTGTGACAGTATTGAAGCTAGTCTAATGGTGACTTTGCCGTTCAGATTTCCCATTTCCTTATAGGTAATGAGCTTTGTTTGAACATTCAGTTCTAACAGTAGGATGGTGGAGAATCAAGGAGTTTAAAAAATTTAAGTATCAGATTCTGTGCTACTATTTTCCTTTCTTGAACAATTACAGTGGGATACTTTGAACTTCACAGGTCATGACCTATGGCATAATTGATAACTGGATTCCTGCTAAGGACCCACTGGCCTGAGTGTTACTCAGTGTACTTTACTCAAGTACTGCCCCCATAAAGAGACATTGGAATTTGTACAACCAAGAAGTCACTTGTTTTAACTAGATAATATGCAGTTTGGACATTTTATACATGATGATCATGGAACAGGATTCAAGAGGAGTTCTTTGAAGATGAGTCCTGAGAGAAAAGAATGCTAGGAAAGTGGATTTTGTAGAGAAAAAGAAAAGCTCTCAGAGTTGCTTAGCCTAAGGGAACATAGGGTAACAATTTGTTCAAGGAGGAGTGTTGATTGGATTTTTCCCTTCTTTGCGGAGAACTAAACGGGACTCAAAACAGAGATGCTCTTACAAATAAGTCCAGTTTCCAAAGGTATAAAACACACACACAAATGTGTTTGGACAGAAGATACAAACTCAGAAAAGAACATTTTTGACCAAAGGCTCTCAGTTAGTTAGGTTTGCCTTTAACTCTCAAGCTCAGGAGATTTTAAGTACAGTTCTCCAGGTCCCAACAGATGTTCGGATCCAGCTGGCTTTTAGTCCAAAAATTTGTGTTGTTAGTCTATGATTCGAACTAATGACAATCATTAAACAAATAGTAAGGGGACAGAACTTGTTCATCTCTCAAGGGGAATGTGTTCCAGACTGTCATAGAGACCTAGATCTTAGAGCACTGAGGTGAATTACAGTATTGAGTGGTTTTTTTAGTAGTTAAAGATGTCATATTTTAAGCCATAGTAACTAAGCATGAAATTCTAAGGAAGGAGAAATTAAATCATGGGTTACACCTTCACTTTGAAATACGACAACCATCTTCAGGCAACGTTCAGGAAACAAAGTACTAAATATTTATATTTCAGATGTGTTGACATTTATTCCTACTGATAAGTGAACATGAAATTATAAAAGTTAGCCTCTGCTTGCTGTGTTTCTTAAGCATCTTCATTAATTCTGTTCCTGTGGGTTTGTTTTGGTTTTATTTCTTTTGTTTCCTGTCTAGGATGGAGCTACGATGTGGAAGAGAAGAAGGTTCCAAAACCCAAGTCCAAGTCGTACGCTGCAAACTTTTCTTGGAACAAAAGAACAAGGGTGTCTACAAAATAGGTTGGCACTGCTGCATTTCTCCCTGACTGTGAATGAAGTCAGCTGGGCACTATTTATAGTCCGTGGATAATGCACCTCTTAATCTCCTAATAAATGTGACCTTTGAACCACAGGTACACGTGGCAGTTTCTGTTTTTATTGTTTGTGATGTCTCACACTGAACACATTACAATTTCCTGCAGAGAGATTTAAGGTGTTCATCCTCTAGGAAATCATAGCACTTAGAATCTACTAAAGCAAATGCCTGGAAACAGCTGCCGCCTAGGTGTTTTCTGGTTGCTTTTTAGAGCCACTCCCAAATCAGTTCTGTATAAACTCCAAGCCATCATTGCTATCCTGTCTGAGAAACTCTTTTGCCACAGGTAGAGGAGTGCATGGGTATTGTACAACCTGATAACCCTCAACCTAACTCCCTTACAGCGAACATTCTCCTTCTTCAATTGCAGCTTTCTATTTTCTCAGTGCTTATGGAAGTAAATGGATTTGTCCATACCACGTTCTACCTTATGACATGCGCTGATTGTGAGTGTTTCTGGTGGAGATTTTTTTGTTCTTTGGAAATAAATATTCAAAACAAAATAAAACCGAGTGTTTTGGGACCTTTGGTGTTTTTAAACTGTTGTGCTTTTAAAATGTAAGTAAATACATTTTGTCAGTTACAACTGTGTGGCCTACATGATTACCCATGAAGCCATGCTGTCATCACGCTCTCAGAAAAATGCTGTGGCTATCTATGAACCCTCATAACCACGGTATCGGGGGGGGGGTACTTAGGGGTACTTAATGTTTCCCATTTTGCAAAGAAGAGGTACAAATCAAGACCTAAAAAGGATTAAATAATGGGCTCAGGATAACAGTGCTCCCAGATAATAAAGGTGATACTGGAACCGCCTGCTTCAAACCCATGTACCATGTAGCTTCTGGTGGCTACAGAGAAATGTGCTTTAGTAATAGCATGTTAGCTCTTCAGTGTGTAAATGTACATTTTCTTCATTATCATAGAAACACCTGTAACATGTTGCTCTAGCTCAACAAAGTGAATCAGAGAATACAGTTTTGTTTGGGGGAGCATATTGACAATCCTTTAAAAACATGTGAACACATATACTGCATTTCATTCTAAAAATGTGCCTCTAATTAAACAGCCAAGGGATGGACACAGAGATAAACAGAGATTTTCTGCAAAATTGTTTTTAAAAGCTAGTAAGCTGAAACAGTGTAGATGTCTATGTAGCATGAATCTTAAAAAGTTCTTATAAATAAAATCAAACCCAGGGCCAGTTATTGGGGTAAAATGCTGGATAGTCAGAGAGACAGAACAAGCCACAGCTAACCTCACCTGACCAACTTCTCAGCTGATCTTGTTTCCTCAGACTGAAAGCCTCTGTGTCCTCATATCCGAATGGTTCTCAGCTGAACTGTGCTGCTCGAAAGCCTGAAGTTTAACCAGCCAAATGCTTAACCAGCCAAATGCTTCTAGTTTCTGGTCCTCACGCCTTATATACCTTTCTGTTTTCTACCATCACTCCCTGGGATTAAAGGCGTGAGTCACCATGCTTGGCTGTATCCTTGAACACATGGATTTCTGCCACTGGAATGCTAGGATTAAAGGCGTGTGCTACCACTGCCTATCCTTT